AGTAAAACAGCTGTCTGGAACAGGAACCACCTGCTTAATTTATGTTCTGTTCTTGCAGATGTGGTAGTGCTGGAGCTTTCTTCTTCCAAAATAGCTTCACTGCTGCAGTGCTATCCGCTTTTGCTGGCCCAGCATGTGCAGAGGTGGGATGTGTGCTCTGGAGACAGCATGCAAGCCCCATGGAGAGTGCACAAGGTTTTTAGTCATTGTTTCTCCAGTGACTTCTTAACACGAGTTAAGAGCAATGTTAGATAAGCAAGACAGGTAGATGTGGATGAAAATATCCATTTCCTTTTTAAGCCATTCTTAGAACATTATTCAGAGGAAAACCAAGACACAGTCATAGGTGGAATGCACCCATTTAACTTTTATACATTTTATGAAAAAGCCAGGACAGATTCAATTCATGGATGCAGGCTCTGCAGCCACTACTGTATTCCTGCACCAGGCAGTGTTAATAGGGAAAGAAACTAATCTCTGGTTCTCTGCAGAAAATCTCCCTTACCTGGCTATATGTTTTGAACTGTAAAAGGTAAAGTTGCATGTACAGGCAGAAGGAACTCATTCTTTGAAGGCTGTCATTCCAAGTGGAATATAGGAGTGTCAGTATGGGAGCAGGAATTCCATTACCTTTTATTTTAGTAACTGATTATTACTCACATTGCTGTACAAATTAAGTGAAAAAGAATTTGCCAAAGTTGACTTCTGAAATGTGAGTAAATGGAGGCAGAATTCTTCTGGCAGGTCCAATCAGCCTCTGAGAGAACACAGGTAAGAAATCAGAACTGGCCGATGGCTCATGGGGCTGATGAGCCAGCATGGTCTCACTACAGTCCTATGCAATAAATAGATAAATTTTGTAACTTCTCTGGTATGTGAGGAAAGTAAAGTCTGAGTCTAAAATAAAGACTGCATTAGTAAGAAACTATGCACACAGATTTGGCAACTTACTGCCTCTAAATTCTCTTCTATGTCAGGATACATTGAAGAAATGAAATAGGTTTGTATAAAATAAAATTGCTTCCATCTCAGTTCACATTTCTATGTTAAACATGGAGTTAACTTACTGGGTCAAGTTTCACAATTTTTCTGTTTAGTGACCACTGAAAACCTGAGTGAGGAAACTTTACTGAGGAAATACTGGATGAGGAAATAGGGCACAGAAGCTGTTATTTCTGCAAAGTTCAGACCAACTCTGGCAGAGCTTCAGGCAAAATCCAGGCCCATTGGTCCCCATTCAGTGCCATCACCATCCTAGCTTTCTCTTTCCAAGGATTTTCAATATCACCTCTGAAAAAAATAATAAATCCAAAGGTCATAGACTCTGAATTTGTAGGAAAGGAATGCATGCATGATTTGCTGGAGGGATCTTGAATTGTTGGGGATTTTAATTTTGTTGTATTCTAATAGTAATAAAATCACAAGCTGATTTTATGAACATTACGTTTGACCCTTTGATGACATGTGCTTTGGCTGTGCAGATTCCTACATGAAGTGGCTTGACTGGATGCTTCAATGCAACAGAAATTGAAATCAGCCCTCTGAGTGATGTAGATGATATGATATGCTCTTCCTGGGTACCTCTGAGATGTTGTGTCTGACTGACGGCCACAGATATCCCACTGAAACGGCTTTCCATTAAAGAAGTTCACTGTGGTGGAATTAGCCAAGAGACACATTGGTCTTTCTTCACAGCATTCCAGTATTTATCTATTTCCATTTCTCCCATAATACAAGGAAACTGACCTCTGCCTTCTAGTGATAAAGTGATTCTAGAGCTATTTTGCTGACAAAATTCTGCTATACGGAAAAGCACTCTCAGAAATTTGACTTATGCCAGCAAAACGGTAGGGGGTTTTGGCATTGCTTATTTTAGTGCCTTTTGAATTATGTCAATTTTTCTCTTAGCCAAATTGCATCTCCTCATATTCCCAATGTGTGCTGCCATGCCAACAAAAATTGGTTAGTTTTGGATCAGTTAATCCTTTGGAGATGAAAAATTATAGAATTACCACAAGTAGAGGTTAGGTAAGATCTCTGAGGTGCCATTTTCCAGGTATTTGTCTTTGCTAGACAGCATATAGACCCTCTAATCTTGTAGTCAGCTGTAAGGTGAGAGACTGTGGACACAATTAGCTTTCATGTACAGTCCCATACGAAGCTGAGGAGAACCCAATGCATTTCTTTGGTGTTTCACCACAAACTACAGTGGAAACACAGCAGTGTGATGGCCATGCTTCCCTTCTGCCTTAACTTCAAGTTGCCTGAATGTAACGCAGACCCCAGACATACTTTCTTTTTTGTCACGTTACTGATTCAGACATCCTCTAAGAAGGTGATACTTTTAATCCCTTTTAACTGACCTGCAATATGGTAGAATCATAGAATAGTTGGGGTTGGAAAGGACCTTAAGATCATCAAGACCCAAACCCCCTGCCATGGGCAGGGACACCACACACTACACCATGCCACTCAAGGCTTCGTCCAACCTGCCCTTGAACACTGCCAGGAATGGAGCATTCACAACCTCCCTGGGCAACCCATTCCAGTGCCTCACCACCCTAACATTGAAGAATTTCCTCCTTATATCCAATCTAAACTTCCCCTGTTTAAGTTTTAACTCATTCCCCCTTGTCCTGTCACTACAGTCCCTAATGAAGAGTCCCTCCGCAGCATCCCTATACGCCTGCTTCGGATACTGGAAGGCTGCTATGACATCTCCATGCAGCCTTTTTTTCTCCAGGCTGAACAGCCCCAACCTTCTCAGCCTGTCTTCATATGAGAGGTGCTCCAGTCCCCTGATCATCCTCATGGCCTCCTCTGGATTTGTTCCAACAGTTCCATGTCCTTTTTATGTTGAGGACACCAGAACTGCACACAATACTCCAGGTGAGGTCTCATGAGAGCAGAGTAGAGGGGCAGGATCACCTCCTTCGACCTGCTGGTCACGCTCCTTTTGACGCAGCCCAGGATACGGCTGGCTTTCTGGGTTGCAAGTGCACACTGAAGCTGGCTCATGTTTATTTTCTCATCGACCAACACCCCCAAGTCCTTCTCCACAGGGTTGCTCTAAATCTCTTCTCTGCCCAACCTGTAGCTGTGCCTGGGATTGCTCTCACCCAGGTGGAGGACCTTGCACTTGGCATGGTTACACTTCATAAGGTTGGCATCAGCCCACCTCACAAGCGTGTCAAGGTCTCTCTGGATGGCATTCCTTCCCTCCAGCGTATCAACCGAACCACACAGCTTGGTGTCATCGGCAAACTTGCTGAGGGCGCACTCAATCCCACTGTCCATGTCAGCGACGAAGATGTTGAACAAGACCGGTCCCAACACCGATCCCTGAGGGACACCACTTGTTACTGGTCTCCAGCTGGACATTGAGCCACTGACCACAACTCTTTGTGTGTGGCCATCCAGCCAGTTCTTTATCCACCGAGTAGTCCATCCATCAAATTGATGTCTCTCCAATTTAGAGACAATGATGTCATTTGGGACAGTGTCGAACACCTTGCACATGTCCAGGTAGATGACATCAACTGCTCTACCCCTGTCCATCGGTTCCGTAGCCCCATCATAGAAGGCCACCAAATTGGTCAGGCAGGATTTCCCCTTTTTGAAGCCATGCTGGCTGTCACCAAGCACCTTGTTGATTTTCATGTGCCTTAGCATGCCTTCCAGGAGAATCCACTCCAAGATTTTGCCAGGCACGGAGGTGAGACTGACTGGTCTGTAATTCCCCGGGTCATGGTATGTTGTGGGAAGATTAGTCCATAAGTTTCTTGGTTAATTACTCTTACTTCTCTAACTTCCAACTGGAAAAAATAATAATTGTCAAATAACAAATAATCTGTAATAACAAATAAACCATGACCAGTGTTTTGACACTTAGCTGTTAATAGCTACTTAAAATGTTAACTTTCCAACCTAGATACTCTCATCATTCTGTGTTTTTTCCACGCCATCCTTTTTGTAACAATGTAAAGCAATGTTTCTGAGGCTCAGCGCATTTTCAATTAACTGATTCTTTCATGTCTGGGAGATAAGTTAATACAGTTATTCCTAACTTATAGACAGTGTCCTTGTGGTGTGTGTGTACCATCTGTACCTGAGGTACAGGCCTGAAAGTACTCAGTGGACTACATTCAGCAGGGAATAATGACCCATGATAGCATGACATTTAATTACAATATTTATGAGAATTAATTTACCAGATTACTGAAAAAAAAGTATATGGGAGAGACAATAGACCTGAGGGAAAATACAGAAGCAGGTATAAGAGATATTTTTTCAGCTCTTAGGAAGCTTTCACAGGAGCGTTAGGTCTAAGACAAGCTTAGAATTTGTACATGTGGTTTGGATCTCTGAAAGAATTAGCTATGATATTGCAGTGCCACCAAGATGATACTTGCATGGTGTACCAGTCTGTAAAACTAAGGCAATACACCCAGTTTACATAAACCTCTGAAATGCAACAGGGAAGCACATGCTTAACACAGACTGCCTTACAGTACAATTAAATGCTAACATTATATTAGCTAGATGCTTTCCCCAACAGCACTCCTCTGTGGTTTTTTTGCATTATGTATATAGCACACGTGGCAGGAATTTTCTATCCTGGACAGATAGAAAATCTTACTTAAAGATCACCCCAAACAATAATGTGCCTTCAATGAAAGTTATAAAACTGCATTAGCTACAAAAGGGAAATGAAGCATACTCCCTCATCTCTTACAGAATGATTGTTGCTTGTATATCATGCTCCTATCAAATTTGATTGTAAACCTTACCCCTAGGTCCTCCTGCCCTCAGCAATTGACTTCAGTGGGAACAGGACCAATCCCAACATTCTCAGAAAAGGCAAAGTGCTGTTTGACAAGGCTTCAGCTGGAGGACTAAAAAACCAGTGTATTGAAGATGGATCCTCTAGATTGCATTGCCTGAGAAGGTGTTTGTTTCTCTTCTTGAAAAGTTTCCACATAAGCAAGAAATGCCTCTGATTCTGCAGATTCTTAAGGGCTTTCTTAATTTTATTTCCCTATTCTGACTTTTCACATGAAATAGGCTACTTTCAAAATAAGCAAATCATAAATGATTTTTTGTTGCAAATTTGTTTCCAAAAACCTTAATAAGCTCAAGTGCTCTTCATATTTGTAGAGTAAGTATACTACTTTCCAACATACCTGTAAATGTCCCTTCTGAACATGAAAAATATATATTTTTTTTCTATTAATGCAATATTATGTTACCCAAACAGGTAATTTCCAGTTCTTATTCTTTCAAAAGCTTGTGTTCAGGAAAAGAAGTTGACAGCTTTGCTCTTTAAAGAAATTGTTTCGTGTGTTCATTGTACATACTCGCGAACTGCAAGTTCTTTCAGGGTAAAAATACGAATAGGATCCTTTTTTGCCTTCCATTCTTCCAGTTTTTCTTGAAAAGACAGAAAATCCTTGCCAAGTTCATATGCCAGAGTGATCATTGTTTCTAACAATGGAATGTAATACCTGTGGCTAGTATGTACACAAAGGTGCGACAGAGCTTTTTCTCCATATTCAAAGGCACTTGCTGGGTTTTCCAGGTCCTTATGGCACACCACTATGGCACAGAGAGTAGGGACAATTGAGACAGGGTTGCCTCTTGTCAGCCTTGCCTGCAGACCAATGACTTCTAACAGGATTTCCAAAGCTTTGGTGTACTGGCCACCCCGCAGGCACCCATATGCTTCCTGAAGCTCTGGCCTTGTTAAAAAATCAATAAATTTTTTTGATCTTCTGATATATTTCATAGAATATAGAAGTCTCAGGTAGTCCTTGAAGGCTAATTTTCTCTCATTGATTATTTCTTCTGTGAAGTTCCCTGTCAGAGCTTTTTTGGGAAAGGTCACATCTTCCATTTCTTCACTAAACTCGTTCAGCAGATTTCTGTGTAGTTTCTCGAAATCTGAGTAACGGCGTTCAATTACAGACTTGTTGTTGTCAAAACTCCCTGTTTGCAGAATGATGATTTTATACATCTAAACGCAATGAAACAGAAAAACAAGCATAAGAAGGACCACTCTTGCCTAAGTGCACTCAGATTTTGTCTGCTTTAAAATCTGCAGCCATCAAATTAATAATTCCCACCTCCTGTTGTGCTATACTTTTGTCACCAAATTTAGCCTTAGCATGTAAGTAAGTTGTAATGCACTAACAGATCCCATCTGGCAAGGTGCTGGGAACGGTAAATTAGCAGCAGGCTGACACAAGTAAAGCCACTTACAAAGCATTTCTGTAGCTGAATTTTGTTTATAACAGCCATAGCTGCTGCAATCAATCATCTACAGTGGACTGAATGTATTTCCCAGACTTAAAATTGAATATAATCTATTTTACATTGGTTGTAATACTCAGAAATGCAGTTTGTATCAGACATTTCTAGGGATCTGGGGTTATTATTAATTCTGTGGAAGAAGAGGGAGTATTTGGCAGTAATGTTTGGTGTGTGCAAAAATAAGATGGAGCAACTCCAAAGCCTTTTCTCCCTTTTAAATCATTGTCCTGTTATTCAAAACTTACTTGGCATATAAATAATGAAAAAGAGTGACATTTCTACAGCAATCTGTTTGCCATCCAAAACCCTTCACTAACAGAAAAGCTGTCCCACATTAACAGTACTCAATAGTATGTCTCCTCAGCTCTTCACTACCCTCAAAATGACAATAATAAATGTGATATTAGAAAAATTGATGCAAAATAAATTTGTGTGTTATGTGATGTACAAATAGAGTCTCTTCTGGTTCTGATGCAAGTACAATGATGCTGAGGATTTGCCAAATCCATGATGTGTGTAAACCAGTGGAGCTCCACTGAGGGCCACTTAACTGCATCACTGCACACCAGCTAAGGACATGGACAGTTGACCTTGCTAGCTTCAACACAATGACCAGGTTCATATTCAACTCAACCCTTTTCTCATTAAATTATACAAAAACTGGAGCCATTGTACTCATGCCAGTTGTTTCCTTTGCTGCTGTTGAAGAGTGCAAACCAATATCAACATTATTCTCTGTCTGATTCCCTTCCTTGTTTTTCCTTAAAAAGAAATTATCTCTTTTAATCTTCATAAATGATCTTTACAGGTGCTCTTTGAAAGGTTTCTAAATTTGAGCTGACTTCCCTGAGCTCTTTTAACTTGTAAGCACTGTGACATTTTCCTATACTTTTTTCCTACTCCCTGCTGAAAAGTATATATATGCCTGATGCGTATCCAAAACAATGATAAGAGCAATTTTTTAAGCTATCATTTTATCAAGGGCAGCTAAGTGAATAATTTACAAGTACTTGTTCTTTGTGGAGTATGCATGAAAGAGGGCTGAAATACCATTTAGTTAGATAATCATTCAAATTGGCTCAATTTTGTTGTAATGTACATATCTTTGCCTAGGCATGTAACTTATGGCTAAGCCTAACTACTTGCACATATACTGAATCATACTCTTGTTCTCATACAGTTATACTAAAATAATTTTTAACTAATCACCAAACTAGATACTACTGAGTGTATGCAAGTATGGCAGCACCTAAACAGGTGTGTATAGCATGCAACAAGGTCATAGGACAGTCTCCCAAACTTTTACCTGCTCCATATTCTACCAAGCTGCACCACCCCGTATCAGGAACTAGTATGATTCTTAGCATTTTTCATCTACAGATCTCAGGGGTCCTTGCAAACAAGGAAAACATCTCTATTTCACAAGAATACTGAAAGAGACTTGCTGTAGTCTCTTCAGTCCCCCTGAAGGACAGAAGCAGAACCAGAAATAAAAAACAAGTGTCAGTACTGTGAGTAAAGATACAAAAATCCAGCTTGTTCTGTCCCTCATACTCATGCTTCACCTTAAAAATATGACAGAAATGTGCCATCTAATGGAGCTCTATATAGGTAAGGGGACTGATCCCAAGCAACCTAGCTGGAGGGTGTCTTAGACTTTGTCAACATCAAAGAATTTTGCACTTGTGCTAACATAAATCTCTGATGATGAAATTATACAAATGCAATACAGCTGCTACGGCAGGCTAGCTCAGTGGAAGTCCAACAATATAGAGAGTGACCTTGACAACCTTGTGAGGTGGGCTGATGCCAGCCTCATGAAGCTTAACCATGACAAGTGCAAGGTCCTACACCTGGGTCAGAGCAATCCCAGACACAGCTACAGGCTGGGCAGAGAAGAGATTCAGAGCAGCCCTGCGGAGAAGGACTTGGGGGTGTTGGTCGATGAGAAAATGAGCATGAGCCGGTTTCAGTGTGTGCTTGCAGCCCAGAAAGCCAACCGTATCCTGGGATGCATCAAAAGCAGCGTGACCAGCAGGTCGAAGGAGGTGATCCTGCCCCTCTACTCTGCTCTCGTGAGACCTCACCTGGAGTATTGTGTGCAGTTCTGGTGTCCTCAACATAAAAAGGACGTGGAACTGTTGGAACAAGTCCAGAGGAGGCCACGAGGATGATCAGGGGACTTGAGCTCCTCCCATATGAAGATAGGCTAAGAAAGTTGGGGCTGTTCAGCCTGGAGAAGGATGCGTGGAGACCTCATAGAAGCCTTCCATTATCTGAAGGGGGCCTACAGGGATGCTGCGGAGGGACTCTTCATTAGGGACTGTAGTGATAAGACAAGGGGTAATGGGTTAAAACTTAAACAGGGGAAGTTTAGGTTGGATATAAGGACGAAATTCTTTCCTGTTAGGGTGGTGAGGCACTGGAATGGGTTGTCCAGGGAGGTTGTGAATGCTCCATCCCTTGCAGTGTTCAAAGCCAGGTTGGACGAAGCCTTGGGTGATATGGTTTAGTGCGAAGTGTCCCTGCCCATGGCAGGGGGGTTGGAGCTAGATGACCTTAAGGTCCTTTCCAACCCTAACTATTCTATGATTCTATGATATTTTTATACTAGTGTGAATTTCCTCTAGGTTGGCAAGCCTCCAGGTGTTAAGGACACTCAAGTGACTAATTCACATGATATCATGTTTCCATTGCTGCAGATGTTGTGAACTGATTGTCAGAGGGGTATTTTAGAGGTAGATTCCATCAGTTATGCCCATAAGATCAGTGATAACAAGTTCTTTCTACTCAGTATGATCACAGCTTGCAAAACTTGGCCCTCAGTAAGGCTTTCATGTAGTGAAGCATGCTGTGTGCTGCACAGACCCCTGTGGAGTGAATAAAAACTAATGATCTTCTTACATATTCATTTTTTAGCTTACCACATATTTAGATAAGTGATGCTCTACAGTTCTGGTTGATGGGATTTCAAAAACAAGTTTGACTTGTTTGCACTGGCGTTTTTCATTCCTCCAATATTCCTGAAGCTCCTTAGTGGTCATTGAAGAGTTGGGACTTAGGGATGCACTGGAATCTAAAAACAATAAATTTAGTATTTCAGATTATAACATTTGCATTTGGAAACAAAACTTATGCATTTATTGTGAAAGGAAACGCTAGAATTTCTGCTGCTGCAAGACCTAAAGACATAAAATAAGTGATTTCACTGCTAATAAAGGCAGGTCCAGATTCTTTGAGGAAAGCTATTGTGGTCTGACATTTTGAAAGACACCAAATAGTCTGCATAACACAAAGTAATAGAAAAATTACTGACAAAAATTATTGAATGCCTAGGTTTCAAGCTTGGGCACAGTCTGAGCAGGAGGTAGGCTTCACCTTCCCAGAAGTAGCCTTAAGAAATGCTGACTCAGTCTTCTGAATCAGATGTTTCTCCGGGATACTTTGCTGCTAAAAGCAGGAGATAATACAGTGCATACATTCAGACACTGAGTGAGTCTATTCAAATATTGGGCTTGTGCAGTAACGGGTGAAAGCTGAGAACACACAAATGTCCTAACCTGACAGGAGAAACTTGGGTATCCAGCTCAGCCAAAGGAAGAATTATCATTTCTTCTTATTTTGTAGCTAAGCTGATGCCACAGTTCAGCCGCAAATATTTTATATACCTCCTTTCCTTCCTCTCTCTCTCCCCTCACAGACACACACACAAACATATAGACACATGCACATATAAAAATGTAGGACAGCTGGTTGGAGACTTTGCTTACGGGGGAATTTGTTGCAGTTTTTCAAAAGGGTGATTTTCTGTCTTTGAAATCTACTGACAACAGTTTTCAACAGGCGGTGTATGGGCTAGGAAAGTGGATAAAAAAATGGAATGTTCGTATTTCAGTGGGTACACCAGTCCCAATTTCAAATTAATAATGTCTCTGTCAATGCAGTCAGCTGAAGTCACTCTGGAATATATTTAACATTCAGTCAATGGATCTGAATGACCACAAATGAATGGGAAGATAACAGTTTGATGCAGCAACAGAACTGTAAAGGCACCACAGTATTCCTTTACTGGCCCCAACTTTACATGTTCTTAATCATTTGGTCATACAGTTTCAATTATCAAGGCCTTTGGGGTTTGGCTCAATCTCTATGAAACATATATTTTCCTGAAGAAGGGGGTGTTTATGACATCTTTGCAGGCTGAAAATCTTGATGATATATATTTTGGATTATACATAATATTTTATTTAATAACAGATGTCTGCAATCTTAGGCATAGTGAATGTTCAATGCTGCCTCTCCATGGGGTATGTGAGAGACTACTGCTTGAGATTAGCTTCAGTCTTGGTATCCTTGCTCATACTGTCAAGAAGTTCAGATTTTGTGATATGAAGAAAGTTCACTCCTGAGACACACCATCTGATAATAACCATTTTGATCCCTGGTATGTAAATTAAATCTGGTATACATTTTACATGTAAGAGATAGAAAAGGAAAGTTCTGTGTGTGTATATATACACCAGGATGTGCATCTGTTTCACTACTGCCACATTATTAGTCCAAGTTTAATTAAGGCTTATTTTCAATGAAGTATAGCAGTGTAAATCTGGACTACAGATAAATAAAGCAAAGGTTTTAATAGAAAAGATTAATGGCATAAATAGCTACATGAAAAATAAAAGGGTAGCATCAACCTTGCAGGTCATCTTTTTCTGGGTTTTCTTTTTTCACTTGACATGAAATTTCAGCTTGGGGTTGATTTTGCTCTTTATCAGGTGGACTTGTGGTAGAAAACATAGTAATCCTGTTTACAGCTTCCAACAGCTCCCTTTCTGCTGCGCAGTGCGAACCTTGGTCCATCGCAAGCAATCACTGAAAGATTACAAAAATGACATTTCTCAGTAGCCTGCCTTTAGAGCATCCAGACTGGTAATCTTTTTTACTGACTTACTCACCGGTCTCTGTGAACTTGTAGGAGGGCAACTGCACTTTCATAAAAACTAAAGTAATAAATAGAAATATCTAGATAGGTACCATTGAAAGTGTTTAGATATCTTCTTGACAGATTAAAATTAAACATGAAAACCATAAGAAGTTATGTTGAATAAGATAAGGTGTGGAACTCCATTCTTATCTATGAGAATTCTGGCATACCCTTCAGTGGGGGCTGATTTTTTCCTACCTGTATTTTGCCCTTAAGCTTGCAAGTATGAGTTCAGATGAACTAAAATCTTGGAGATAATTAGTATAGCTAGCAGCCTGGTCCCTTTACACTGCTAGGATTCACTGTTTTTAAACACTCCAAAACTTGCCATCTGTTCTTAATCACAACTTGTAGGACAAAAAAGGCAATATCTACTACAGGATATTTTTTTTTTCATATTTCACAGCTTCAAGTTCTCTCCAGAGTTTTGTCTCTGTGCTATGAGAACAAAACAACTGAATCTGACAATGGCTATAGATGGAAGGAGAACTGAGTTTTCTAATCATTGTACAGAAGCATTTTCCCATTACTTGACCTTTTAACTTATATACTGTGCTTGTAATAAATCTATATTCCTGTTCTGATATGATAGGACTACTATTTTACCACATGCTGATATAATACTTAACACAGTATACTCTTTCCTGGGGTACTGTTTTCCATTAGCATGTTGCTCACAATTCAGCCAAGGGGTGAAAATCAAATGACAAAACAAACTACTTTTTTAAAAAACAAGTCTCCCTGCTATAGATGTAAAATTAATGCCCAAGCAGAGGCTATTGAGTAATGAGAGGGTTTAGTACAGGGATGTTGCTACATAGCATTTTGCCTGCGCTTTTCTACCACACAGTTATGCAATGCTGGATACAAAGGTGAGGAAACCTCTTCAGCAAGCATATTGATTTCTGGCAAACTGCAAGGCCATACGATGAAAAGCAATTACTTTCCCTACTGGAAATAACGGAAATGCAAACCACTTTCCTCTAACAGAAACCCTTCTTCCTTTGCCCAACTTGGATAAGCAAGTACAGACATGTCATCCTCGTTAAGAGCATCATGAAAGCCCTTAATTTTGGACTTTATACTAGAAGGTAAAAGTTCTCACTGTTCTTCTAGTCCTTCTTAAGATCTTCTTTCTGAACATGAAGAGTAGCACTTATTGTCTAACTGCTTAGCCTTTGGAAAACCATGACAGTTTATCCCAAGAGCATAAACTTGCAAATATTCATATTTTATGTAAAGATAATATTAGATATAGTAGATTAAATAAGAATTCTGAAAATGGTCAATTTTAAATGACAACGCTTTGTCTGAAGGTGGTATAACCTCATAAGCACAATAGTATTTATTCTGAAAATAAGTATCATTTTATATATGCATAACTTTATATACATAAAATATGTATTCATGTCTCTCTATATAAACACCTCTTTAAAACATGATTTACCAGAGAAACACAACACACTTGTAAACAGAAGAATGCAGAAGTGAACATTACGATATACAAGTCTTCTACCTTGAATATGTCTTGAAAACTACCTGTACTTCATAGAAACACTCCCAGTTTTACAACTAAAAATCACTGTAATCTCTTTTAACTAAGTTGCAATTTATTTTTACGTATATATATATATATATATACACTAAAAAAAAAGTTGAAACAATTTAAAACCCCTGCAACAAATTACACAGTTTTACTCTGAACAGAAACTCATCCTGTTCCGTTTCAGGGTAGATGCCAGTCCAACTGCTCCATTGAGTCATAGGTAACACCAGAAACCAAAGTGCACAGTGTACCCACCTGAATACTGCTGAAGACCTTTCAGTTGTGGTGCCTGCATAATGTGTCCAAAGTCACAACAAGCCTGCTTTGCGTTTTCAAAGCGCAGAAAAATATGTCTGTGCTTTCTTCTAACAGGCACATTCTGTGTTTCACAAAAAGGAAGGAAGAAGCCTTGATTAAATCAGACTTCCTCATCCAATTGGCTCACTGGTTCAGTGCTGACTGATTACGCATGAGGTTTCCTATTTGCGTCGGACAGCTCCTGCGCTGTCTGTGAATGAGGCACGGCCTGTTGCCCACAGTGCAGCTCCAGCAGCAAGGGCAGGTTTGCAAACCCAAGCCTCAGGACTACACCTGCAAACACAAGGTCTGGCAGAGGAAAGAGTTTTAACAGTAAACACAAGTACGAAATCAGTAAGAACTTCTCTGCCTGGATTTCTGAAACCAGAAAAGCACACTTAACAAAAGAGAGGTTAGAAAAAAAGAGCCAAATGCGTGAATGTACTTATGCGGAAAAAATATGCCCCTTGGGACATCTTTAAACTACAGACTTAGCATCCAGTTCAGAATAGAAAATGCAGATGGGACCACAATAAATAGCCTCACTCTATCTAAACTTGCAGTTCTGACAGAAATCCTGACTCTGCACAGTGATTAAAAATTATTAATTTCAAATATCTCCTTAATTAAAGTTCAAAAAGAAGCATTATCATAGAATCACAGAATCATAGAATAGTTAGGGTTGGAAAGGACCTTAAGATCATCAAGTTCCAACAACCCTGCCATGGGCAGGGATACCTCACACTAAACCACCTCACTCAAGGCTTCGTCCAACCTGGCTTTGAACACTGCCAGGGATGGAGCATTCACAACCTCCCTGGGCAACCCATTCCAGTGCCTCACCACCCTAACAGAAAAGAATTTCGTCCTTACATCCAACCTAAACTTCCCCTGTTTAAGTTTGAACCCTTTACCCCTTGTCCTATCACTACAGTCCCTAATGAAGAGTCCCTCCGCAGCATCCCTGTAGGCCCCCTTCAGATAATAGAAGGTTGCTATGAGGTCTCCATGCAGCTTTCTCTTCTCCAGGCTGAGCAGCCTCAACTTTCTCAGTCTATCTTCATATGGGAGGTGCTCCAGTCCCCTGATCATTCTCGTGGCCCTCCTCTGGACTTGTTCCAACACATCCATGTCCTTTTTATGTTGAGGACACCAGAACTGCACTCAATACTCCAGGTGAGGTCTCACAAGAGCAGAGTAGAGGGCCAGGATCACCTCCTTCGACCTGCTGGTCACGCTTCTTTTGATGCATCCCAGGATACGGTTGGCTTTCTGGGCTCAAAATCATACCTGACATGACTACTGAATTTGAATGGGCTTATGTGTGTGCCTAAAATGAATCCTATGCTTAAACTCTGTGTTGAAGTGGGCAAAATGAAGAAGAATGATGCATTAATCCACGGGTCCTTTACCCCAGATGCTTCTTTTTGCCGTTCACTTTGGAATTTTGCTATGAAACATTGGAATAGCTATTTCTGGGGTGAATAATACAGACACTATCTTGTTTTAGTAATGTAAGTTTCCCATTGCCAAAGCTTACTCATTGAAAAACTAAGTGATTTTAATGCAACACAAATGTGGGAGGCAAACATCCAAAGGACCACATGGATCCTGCCCTACACATTCCTTCAGAACAAACAATTTAAAATAATGTAAAACCAGGGCCATAAACTGGTAATGCTTCTCTTCTGCTTTATTTGCAATGTAAAACAATGCCAACTTTAACTTGGATACAGTCTGAATATAGAAGTTTTGCCAAAATAGCTGTCAGAAGGATGAAAAATCACTCCCATGCAGCTACAGCCACACTGGCAAAAGCCCTAGTGTAGATGCTGTTGTATTGGCAGAGTCCTTTATCCAGTTTAGTGTGTTCCATGCAGAAAATGATTTAAGTTAGACCAGAAAAGAAATCTGTGCTTGCCAATAGAGCTCTAAGGTGTAGCTATACCAGCCAGCCCTTTTAAGTGTAGACAAAGCATGGGTTTCTGGCTTAAGGCTCACTCCTTTAAAGTTAGATTTATGGGTTTGGTTACAATTGTAAGCAAAAACTAAGGGGGATTTCAGTGCGTTTTCCACTTATGCTGACAGTTCACAGATGTATCTGAACTTTGAATTCTGAATCTGTTGATTTATGTGTTGCCAAAAAGCAATGTATTATTTTGTGATGCTTAGTGCTATTGTCCTGCCTTTGATAAAGCTAAAAGAGGATTGTATATTTTTGAGTACATCAAGTGTGATCTCTAAATTATTTCAGAATGAGCAAGTCCTAGTCAAATGAACCTGGATAATTAAAAAAAAAAAAAAAAAAGGTGAAAGCCGTTATTATGAGCATGGCTGACTAATATGAAATAACTTACAAATTAGCGGTGTTCTGCAAGAATTCTGCCTGCCTAAATCAAGCCAGTTGTTATGGTCACAGGTGGTTCCTGACTGTGTTTTTCATGCCCAGTAGCTATGACATCCACAGGTTGCTCCTCCTCACCCTGCTCCCACAAGCTTGGGTTTGGTCCAAACAGCTGTTCACTGGGACCCAGTGCCTGTAGTCCGGCAGCATTTTACTTCCTAAATGTCTACTTGATTAGCACATTCAAAAAACCTATACAGTATACAATGGTGTTTGCTAGCAGTATGTTTGCTAGCAGTATGAGTAACTAGTACCTTTTTAATATTCTCAGTTCCACTTCCAATAGTCAAACACCATGTAAAGAGCTAAGAAGTGGAAAAGGGGAATTTTCACAATGGCAGCATACCCTTCTGGGAAATGGGCAAGTGCACTGACACCATCAAGTTATCTGACTATTCATAAAACTGTGGTAAATTTTAGTGCAAAACCATGTCATAGTGATGAAAAAGGGATCCTCATGCACTGACTTACTAAGAGTGGTTATTCTGTGAAAGTACTGATTTTGGCATACATAAAGAACAGTGCTAAAATGAATCTGGCAAAGAATATGGAAAAAGAGGGCTCTGCAATAACATCGGAGCAAGGCAAGGTCAAGATCTTAATGCTTGATACATAGAAGTTGTTGTCATAGAAGTTAAGTCCTACCCACCGATTTAAGATGAAAGTACCCATTTTAGGAAGACTAACCTTAAAGTCTGTGTCCGAAACTTGTTAAGCAGCCACCAGATGAGATAGCCTTGCAATGCCGTGTATTGAAAACCCATGTTTGTGCTTAGACTGTTAAAGAATCAGCTGCAGTAGTGTAAAACTGCCTTGAGTTATATCCTGATTTGGGCAGTTCCATGTTCCCAGTCAGACAGATTACATAAATGCAGACAGGAACGATATTTAACCATATAAAACAAAGCTGGTATCAGCTTGAAAAATTGTGAGATAAACCAATGTTACACACAAACTGCAGTTTACTGCCAGATTTTACTGGCATTTTATTATAGGCACAGCAGGGTCTTATTCTTGTTCAAGAATGTGGCTATAATACCCCTATTACAAAATACTCTTCAGCTTCTGTCCTCAGAAATACAGCTTCGGGCAGCTTCAGAGTTTGTGCTGCTCTTCCCTCTCAGGCCCCAAACTATGTCAGTAAGCCTTATTTCTTTTACCACATCATTCATTAGTGCTGTAGGTGATGAGAAACAACAGGAGACAGAAATACCTAATGTATTTACTCAAGTCCCATTTTATCACATAACTAATATTTAGAAAGTGCTGTAATGTTGTCTTTGATGCTTCTACAAGAACCTTTCTTCTCTTCTATTAATGCAGCTGGATAAATACCTACCATTTCCATATTTGAAGCAGCAGAGAAATTTGGCTGTTCTGCATGAATAGTCTGCACTTTTGGGGTGATGCTGTGATAAATGAATACCATATTTCTATCCTGGCATAGTACAAAAATCTGCTCCATGCTATTTATATACTCTTTAATTGTATAGTGTCATTTGAAGTGAAACTTGTTTACCAAACTTTATTATTACAAAACATGTCTCCTTTAACCCGAGTGTGGTTTGAACTAGTTCACTGTTTAATGCAAGTATCTCAAGCTGGTGTTACTGACAGGGTTTTCAACATGAAAGAACTATTAGCAAGCCATTTTATGCTGCCAAAGCCCTGTTATCACTCTAAAACTCCTTTATACTTCTACAGGAGTACGAAGGAGCTTTAGAGTAAACAAAAGTCTTGGCCAGGCTTTCAGCTGGGGTCTGCTGGTGACATAGAGCTGTCACACGAGCCTTATGAGTCAGTGGGGTATGAACTTGGTCTGTGTTTCACAAGCACTTTCTAAATGGTCTGTGATAATTTTCCTGTTGAAATCCTAGAGAGTTAAGTACATAATCACGTGGACTAGAGAAATGTTTTTAAATAGTTGGTTTTGAATAATTAGGTATTCCACATAGCCATTCCTATCTAGTATTTTGATATTTTAGTCTTCTAAAGTCTCTGTCCCCTTTTCTTCTCAAATGTAATTACGGTGTACTCAGGCTTAGAGTTGCATTCTATGTAATTTATTTATACCCCAAATGTAAACATAATGATAGGACAAGGGGTAGCAGGTTAAAACTTAAACAGGGGAAGTTTAGATTGGATATAAGGAAGAAGTTCTTTACTGTAAGGGTGGTAAGGCACTGGGATGGATTGCCCAGGGAAGTTCTCAATGCTCCATCCCTGGCAAGTGTTCAAGGCCCCGTTGGACAGAGCCTTGGGGGACATAGCTTAGTGTGAGGTGTCCCTGCCCATGGCAGGGCTGCTGGAACTGGATGATCTTAAGGTCCTTTCCAACCCTAAAGATTCTATGATTCAGGATTTACAGCAGACATGCTAATGCATTCTGCAGTAGGATAAAAGGCAGCGCTACGAGGAGCGGGAAATGCAGCTGCTATGTGTAGACAGCCACCTCGAGGATCATCAGAGCATAGCCGCGGATAACTCGGTGCCCTTCTGCAGAGAGAAGAAACGCCACGTTCTTACCTTACTGGCTTTCCACTACTCCTTATTCTTCAAAACCAAAATGAGCCTTTAAAACTCACTCCCGCTTTAAGTGACTAAACAAAATGAGTAGTGTCAGTACTGACTCCATAACAGATAGTATCTCAGTTTCCTCAGGAGTTTCCAAAGAACTCCCACTGGTTCCTGACACTCAGGCCACATCCTTTCCATCCTGCTCATGTCTGCACCAGCCAAAGTCTGTGTTGTGCCTTCCCAGCTGCCTGCCAAGACCTGTGGCAGTGATACACATTGCTTCCCAGCCCAGAGAGGGGCATCCAGACCTGAGCTGGGGTGCGTTGGACCTGTTTA